TCAGCCATACAGTTAAGATCAGCCTGTACACGTGTCCATCCAGCGTAGACCACATTCACAGGCTTGCTGACCATGAACACATTTTGGAAACAGGAAGTAATGGCATTGATGGCAATAAAGACTGAGGCCGGTGCTTTTTTGTCCACATGGACGCAATAAATATTTTGAGGTGTGTAGATAGCTCGCAGTAGTCGCTCAAAGTTTTGCACCTAAAGATAAGAACAATTTAATTGGCTCCCTAAATGTTTTTGGTAAAAATGTTCAAATGAGCACCTTCATGGTTATTTAACAAACGGTCAAAACTAAAGTACCAATGTGAGATATCCATCATACCTATAACAGTAATTTTGTGATAAGAAATTTCAAAAGATCAAGCTCACACCATGCTCCCTGTACTGTACACCATGCACTGTACATTTAATCAATTAGAACTTTACATATTTAGACCTACTGCTAAACGTTGCAGTAAATTATATAACATGCTTACCTTGTGATGTACAACCATAGAGTAAGCCAGAGGAAACTCCTCTTCTTCCTTGCTTAACGGGATTGTTATGTATTTCCTGGTTATTTTGAATTTCCTGTAAATTCAGTTTTGAAGACGCAATGTTGGTTTTAAAGTCCATATCTGTAAATCGTGATTAAGAGTTGAGTAATTACTAAAACCTGTGATTTCAAACTACAAACCTGCAGTCTTGGGTTGCATTGATATAATACTCATCAGGGATCTGAATAATCTTCTGGAAGTCTTTGGTGATGGTCAGTAATTTGGCTTTCTGCAATTCTTCCTTCTCTCCCTGCAGGATTGCTGAGCATTTGCAAACTTTCTCTGGGCTCTCATCATCATTGGCATACTGTAGCCATTGATACCTGAGTATGTAGACAGCACTTTTGCCTGTTTTCAGTTGACTAAGGTGTGAAAGCATCCATAGTAATCCCAGTACAGCAATGAAATGCAATAACCATAGCTGCCAGCCTCGTTTTGGAAACATTTTTTTACAGTAATGGGAGAATCTCAAGTACAATAATATTAAAGTGTGTGAGAGCTGCTAAAAATGTTCTATATTCATTTTATGGTAACCTCTGGCACTATAAAATAGTAATGATTAATGTTTTATGATATGTAGACAATTTCCTTTCATGGAGTTATGCTGATCAGTACATCTGTTACTGAACCTGGAACCAAGAGATGACATGAGGATAGTAGTGAAAAAACATGATATATGGAATATTTCAAAAAGAAATTTAAGTATAGGCCTGTGAAACTTCTTAAGTCTGAAGTTCAGAACAATAACCAACATAAAACTTTAAATTGAATAGTTTTAGGCAAAATAAAGCAAAAGCCGTTGTTTTTAAATGAAACATTCTGTTAGGTAAAAATCATGTAACTTCATTATACTACAGGCATACATTGCGTAATAACTGCTTTGCACAACCACTGTGTTTTGTAGTTTGTTTTGTACCTTTCCTAACTTAATCAAGAGAAAAAGAGATTATTTCCTACCTGGGATCTTTCATTGGCAGAGCAAATCCTTTTTTCTATTCTCGTAGTTATCTATGGCATTCCTTTTAAGGTTTCTGATACATCAAATCTTCAGGGCACGTTTTATTCCTTGAGCTAAACTGGTTACGGAAGACAGCCTCCAAATACCTGCAGAGGGTGAGGCAAGTTCCTAGTCAGCTAGATGGAAAGAAGAAGAATCAGGAAATCAACATCAGATAACCCATTAGATAACAGATCATTGACATCAAGATAAGGAATCTCCTGACCATGCAAATCCAGCACCCTGAAACTGTATGCTAAGCGAAAAGGAAGGAGGCCAGGGATTAGTGAGAGTCAGAATCACTGTCCAGGATGAGACAACGAACATCCATGAGTGCATCAGGAAGTTGGACACAATCGACCACGTGCTTAGTGAATACATCTGGGAAAGCACTGAGGATTTATTGTTATTTTCCATTTCACTGTAAATAATCGCACTGTTGGTATTCAGAGCTCCCCACCTGGGTCCTCCTTCCTCACATCCCCATGGTTGGCTGTCAACTGTGACAGAATGATTCAGCCAAACATGGGCCCAGCAGACTCTGAGGAGAGGCTCAGGAGGGAGGTAATGAACAAAGTTTACAGACTATGTGATTTGTGGTGGGAGAAGCCCGGGGAAGTGTTGCATCCCGTCTCGCCGTGGAGAGGCAGCTGCAGGAGACGTTTTTTTTTTAATTTCTCTGGCTGGTTGACTGTCTCAACCCATGGTTGGGACTTCATGGACTTCCTGCTCTCAACCCTCCACTCTCCGAATTAGACTGCTCACCGGCCCAGACAGCCGGTAGAATCACAGCCTGACACGCCGGCCCAGTCGTCTACATGGAAACGACGTTCACGCCGCCAGCGCCTCTCACCGCAGTCGGATCCCTGGACAGCTCTACTGCCGGCTGTGGTGAGTAATGGGGACACTTTTTCATTTCTCACACCATCTGTTTCTTTGTTTACAGTGGACGGTGATGCCGCAGACGCTTCTGTAAACCAGCCATTAGTGCAGCTGGCATCGCCTTAGTCAGGAGGAGCTCAGCAAGCCGGAGGAGCTCAGCAAGCCGGAGGAGCTCGCGCTGCCCGAGCAGGACCTCAGCAAGCCGGAGGAGTCTGCGCCGCCCGCGGAGATGCTCAGCGAGCCGGAGGAGCCCGCCCCGCCCTTAGGCAAACTTGTGGCCCACCTTTAAGCACCTGTAGTACAGTTTGTTGTCCTTCACAAATGTTCATTTGTGGTCTAGTGACTTTTCTGAGAGGCTTGGGAGCTTTGACAACTTGTGCCTTTCATCTTTGCAGAACATGTAGGCAACCTTTAACCTTGTGTCACCTTGGCTCTCAGAACTGAAGAACCTTCTTGGATGAGAGGTCTTCATAAAACATAAAGAAGTCCAGAAACTTTTCCTTCCAAGCTCTTTAGGTTACCTGTTAAGAGGTGGTCAGACTGAATCCAGAGGCACACACTCAGAGGTTCAGCTCTCTATTTCACTGCAAGGTCCCTTCATTCTTTACATATCCATGTCGAGCAGAGTGTAAATCCTGAGGCTGAATGGCCTTTGGGCAAGCACACACACTTCTTAGCAGTGCAAAGCTATGAGCAAAAACAGCAATATATGAAAATCCAGGCAGCCAGCCTTTGTCTGCCCAACCAATCCTTAAATTGCACGGCATGGATAATTTGCATTGCTTTGGGATTTTGGAAATGAGATAGCTAATCCAATAGTTAATGCGTTAGCTATCCCAGTTAATCCAAAAAACGAATCAATTTGTTAATATAATAGCTAATCCGTGAGCTAACAGGAAAGGGAAATGGATTTTCATATGAGGAGTGGAATTGCCATTTTCACAGCCTCCCCTTTGCTGTGTTGATTTTTTTCTTAAGGAAGTACAGGAGAACGTCTGTTGTTTAAAAGATTTAATTTGCTTCAGCAGTTGAAATTACAAGTTAAAGCGCTGGACCTCGATGTGAAATCAGCAATCTGCTTCGCAAAAAAGATGCCTCTCAGAGTGGGTGATACATACTACGACAAAAACAAGTATTATTATGACTATCTTTCTTCTGAGAAGCGATGTGACGGTCCTGGCATCTCCCTCTAGATCGTCTCCTCCAGGAAAAAACACCTCCCTCACCTAGCCTTGATTATTAATATTATCTAGCAATTCTAAGCCTGTTATTTTCTACTTATATTCCAAGTTCGGGACATTCTGTTTGGACTCCCTTGGCCCAGAAAATATCATCCTGATTTTAACCAGTTATGATATGTTAGCATGTTTACAAAACCTTCTGCACTTCTACATGTCAATCACGATAATTCAATTCAGTCATAGTGCTAAATCAAAGTTTTTAACCCCTATTGCATGGAGCGCCAACTCTTTCATGAGCACATAGCAATGTGTATGCAAAAAATCATTTAAAAAACAGCTTTGTTTAATCATTTTATTCCTAACAATGTCAAAAATAAATCTGTGATTTTTGAATCTATTTACTTATTTCTCTTTTTTTGTATTTTAAAAAAGATTTATAGAATCAGTTTTTTAGTTTGGAATTCAAAAATGTTTGTGAAATTTTTATTGACAGTTTCATTCTTTTTTTTTTTCAAATTCAGTTTTAAAGTCATTTTTGATTATTTATTAATGGATTAATAATTCATTTTGAAATATTGATTTTAAAGTAGTGTTTTTATTTAAATTAAATTATCAAATAATAATTTACTTTGAATAAATAAATGAATTCATAAATGAAATTAAATTGCGTATTTTATCTTTCAATTCATTATTTAAGCACACAATTCTGTATTTTGATGCGTGTGACTCTTGTGGTCCTCCATATCCAAGTGCTTGGTGCTATATACAGTAAATACATAAATAACATTTAACTGAGTAGAACAGAATATCTTTAAACTGTACACATTTCCGGTTTTTATTTATGCAAGCCACATGAGCAAAGAGTTCAAACAACATTTGGTCAAGTTAATGCAATAAGGTAGGTTACGCTTTATGTTTGTAGCCATAGAGTTGCTGGAAATTGAATAATTTCCCCTGCCTGCTGTTTCCACAATCAATTTCTCTGTAAAACTAAACTTTTGCATTTTTTACCTTTAGGTTATTAAATAATCACCATGTTAAGCTGGATTAGCAATGGTAGTCTGCTTATATATTAATGTAGTTCATTTAATTTAAAATAACCATTTAAATACAAGCTAAAAAGCAAGAAAACTACTAGTTAACGATCAAATGAAACAAAAGAGAAGAAGAACTTTAAAACAATCTCAAAGGTTTGGTTTGACCTTGGTCCTAGATATTATTTAACATTGTTTGTCATAAGTTGATAAACACTTAATAAATATAAATTATAGCATGAGACATAATAATAATGATCATGATAATATTAATCACCATCATCATCACAAATGAAAGTAAAAAAGGCTAACTAAATTTTTAATTTGGGATCACAAAATGTCAATGGTTTCCCAGTTACAGGTAGGTCAGTCAACTACATCTCACCAAAGAACCAGCATAACACTTAAAAGCAGTTGTGAAAATATTAAAATCTGGAATCTAAAACAGGAACCACCTTTTACTGGCTTTGAAATTGAAAGAAAAAGTGATTATCTCCTGTCTGGGATGTTTTGCGCTCTGGCATTTCTTTTAAGTTATCTGATGCATCAAACCTGCAGGACAACTTTTTAGTCCTTCAGTTAAACTGGTAAGCGATGGCATCTCTTTTAACAGACATATTTGTTTCATACTTTAGGATTTGTAGTCATCACAAGAATGTGTTAAACAAATATATACCACAGAGATCTTATAGCAAACAGAAATGCATTTAACGTACATTTACAGTGTTATTTCCCCACAGCCTTAACACCAAGAGTAAAACTTATCTAGCCGACATAGCAGGAATAAGTACACTGCACCTGACAGAAATAACATGCTCTTACTTTAAAAGATACGTTGCTCAATCACATGGTTCTCTTCTCCATGCCACTTCCTTCACACACACACACACACACGTAATCCACAGACTGGTGCAAGAAACACCAGTAACGATTTCTCGTATGAATGCACAGAAAACCAGTTAACGACGACTCAACAGTGACAGCGATGAAAATTATCCGTGTGTGTGTGTGTGTGTGTGTGTGTGTGTGTGTGTGTGTGTGTGTGTGCAAAGTACATCAAAATGCAATGTAAATATAATGTAACAATAGACTAGTTGGACTAGTTTAGATCTTTTGTGTGAATGCACAGAAAACCAGTTAACAATGATTCAATGGTGACACATAATTTGCTCCAGTTTCTCTAGCTGAACCTTAAAAAAAATCCCAACAATCCCACCATTTCACAGGCATATCTTGGCATGATGAGTCTTTAGAAAAGGTATAAAAATGTCTACAGATGAATAGTATCTGAAAATTGTACACTCATTCTCCTTAGATATTGAAAATACTCTTTGGTTTTGTCTAAATCTCTCTGAAAAGCCTTCATTAATTTTCTTATGCTTTTTAACCTTTCACTGACATTTGACTGTCTTACCATTGACCTTAAAGTAAAGCGATCTCTTTCCTTTCTTCTCAGACAGCGCTATCATAAATCTTTTACCGTCAATTAACATGTGGATCCATCCTTTACATTGCTGCTATGTGGTCGTAGTTGGATGTCGCTGAAAACTGAGCTTATTTGTTTTGAGGGTGTGTCCATCTCCCTTTTAAGCAGCTTTTCTCTGGTGGTTTTCGCATGTGCATTGTGGGTAAACCGCAGGTCTGACGGTAGAGTGGAGGACAGTAGAGCTTTGCGATATATGGTCAAAAACTGTCCCATCTTATCACTCCTGAGCACCACTGAACCTGGATTGAATGGGTGTGGAGACATCTGCAAGTGGTAGTAGTCAAGCTTGTGCTGACAAGTTGCAATTGTATTGTAAAACAAAAACAAAAAAAACAACAGGGCTTTAACACCAAGTAAATTAAGGGCAGTATGTACTGATACTTTTAACCTATAATGGATCTTATTTTGGGCAGAGCAATGTGATTTGTGAGCTGAATATAAGAACTATATAAGAATATATAATATATAAGAACCTTCCATTTACCATTTTAAAGTGTTATAGGTTATAATGAATCAACATGACAGTCAACAGAAAAAGGTTCAGAAAATTTTCAATGTGCAATTTTGAGGAGTATTTTTTAAATAAAAATTATAATAAAATGTATTTAATACAGTTCAATTGGATACATACTAGAATTTGAGAACAGAAACAAAGTATCAATACAATTGCGTTAGTGTCAGTTAGATACTGATAATAGTGTTGGTATCGATGCTATCGATATTTGGCCAATATCATGCAAAGAAGATGTAGCTTGAAAAAGTTGTCAATAACTTCTTTAGTTATCAACACGACAAACATTGACTATGATAGAAAGAGGACGTCAGCTGTGAATATGCCCGGTCTAATAAAACAGGCAAGTTGAAGAGGTGCAGGCTCAGGAGCACTTTAGGATTAACATCTAAG